ATTTTAATATTTACGAATAATCTGTAATTGACGAAATTATAACTTTTATACTAGAATATCGAAACGATAACATCTCCGATATTTTATAATACCTGTTTATAGACAGATAAGACACAAATAAACACTTCGGCTCTTTTTATGTAAGCATTTAAAAATATTGTATATGTGGATCCTCCTAATAATGTCAAAATTTAAAAAACAAATTACGAGTAGCATGGAGATTAGGGAGAAGACCAAATAAACGTTGCAGCATCGAAGGAATTTTTAAATTGTTTAGAATCATGTTTGCAACACCAAGACGGGAACTATGAAAAATGTATTTGATGAAAAAAATAGTTGCAGATAAATAAATCTTAATTTCAAATTCATAGTGTGTACATTTATATAATTTTCAATACCTTCAATTTATTTCGGAAGAATTAATGATAAAAATAAAACTAAATCGTAAAAATAAAAAAAGTGTTTATTTGTGTCTGATATGTCCATAAACAGGTATTTCACAATACCGGAGACATCATCATTTCGTTATTCTAGTATAAAAATTAAAATTTCGTCAATTACAGATTATTCGTAAATATTAAATTTCAACATACTTTAACTTTACCAATTTTATAATTTAAAAAAAAACTTCTTATACAAGAATTGTTTTTAAAAAACACTCTATTCAAATCTGTAGAAAAAAAAATGATGTTGCGATTTTAAAAAAAAAGCAAGTTTTATTGCGTATGCGCGCACCGAAAAGATTAAAAAATGTGCATTTAGGTACTCCCTATCATTTCCCGAAAATTCCATTTCAATACTAGGTCATCCAACTGGAATATTTAGTGGTACCTCTTAGCGTGAACGCACTACAGTATATCCGAGGTTATGTCCAACCCGACAATGATAATTTAAAAACCGGATAGAGCCGATTTTTATTCAATAAATCGATCTTTTGTCCGTGCAACCAGTGCCGGAATCAGGAATTGTTTCTACGCCCCGGTAATAAAAATACTGTACGCCCTATGCGGTCTTTTCCCTGTCCATTTTATACCCCGGTGTTAATGAAATGCAAAACGTATGCAAGTTCGTCAAAACGACGACTCGATTTATCGTGGTCGTGTAAGATGCTGAAAAATTAAATCATAAAGTATAGCAAGTAAGTACCGGTAAATGTTAATAACAAAAATACACGAACGCTATCCGGAGAACGTTACGCCTGGAGTAAAACCCTCACCTCTCTCGGAAGCCTTCCCCGAAGCCACGAGATGTCCGGAGAATCGAAATACCGACTACCTATTGTACTTGCGTTGTTTAGAGTGGACTTTTTAATTTAAAAAAAAATCATCCGTATCACTAATCAATTATTTGACATTTTTCCTCCGGTTCAAAAAGATTTCTGAATAACGAGAGTACACGAAGAAAAGTTGTCTTACACGGTTTTTATTTTACGACATTTTTTCTTGCGTCAAAAAGTCCAGAAATCGACCTAAAATTCTATTGTCCATCAGACCGACGGAAGGAATAATGTAATTCGAATTGCTATAATAGGTACCCGGCCACTCGGTATACTTAATACCAGCTATGCATCATTGCAGACGCAGAAAGAAAATATCGGTAGACACTCTGATGGGAACAGTGGTTTCGTTTGAGGGACTCAGACTACACTTTGGCAGCCCTATTATTTTTATTTTGTTTTCCGGCCCACATAGTTTGGCCTGGTGGAGAGAAAAATTTGTCAGATTTAAATGTTAACATCCTTATTGAAAAACTGAAATGACGCTCTTTGACCTCAACTCCTCAGGGTGTAGATACCTTAGATACCGATCCCCTTAAAAACGCAACAGTACTTACAGCGAGAATTCAATTTGGAAAATGTCCTCCGTGCAATGTTCACTCTCTTTGTAGACAATATAATAACTGTATTTGGATATGGAAACGGGGGTGATAAAACAAATACGCAATCAGTGGATACGTCACGAAACCTACACAATATACCTTACTTAAAACACGTGAAGGTATCTTCACGGAGGTTTATCGATTCCGCCGGACATTCGTCAATATCGATTTCGCCGGCCATCGACACCGACCATGGAAAACGTTGAACACTGAATTTTGTCGAGTAGACGGGAGAAAAAAACTGACTCGCGCCGACCGATCCACTGAGAAAGGACTGGAAATCGTCCGTAAAATCGGCAAAACGAAGTCGTGACGTTTGTCGGCGGTAGACACTAAAGCCGGACCGAAATGTACGATGTTTATTTGATACGAAACTGGTACGGACAAAGTAATACTGATATATACAGTATTACATACCTATAAATGTATTTAATTCCATCGGACATCGCGTGTTAACGCGTATCGTAATCGGCTGTATAACAATTAAAAGTTTAATCGGAAAACCGGAAACCGGAAACAAACTTATATTTATTATACTTATTATTTGGACGCGAGACCGAGGCCAAACAATACACGTTCAGTGTACGGCTGTGTGTAATCTGTTGGGCGTTTTGCGTTACACCTTGTAGAAACGGAATATTTTGAAATAATTACTTACCTAGAATGATAACGATAATAATAATAATAATAATACCTATTCTCCTACCAATAATAACCGATAATAGGTGTCTCTGACGGTAAAGGTCCGGAAAAAATTTAAATGAATACACACGGGTGGGCGTCGAGTGAAAACGCGTAAATATTTAGTGTGGGCGATCGGAAGCGCGTGATTTTCCGTCTTTGTTTTTTAGAGGCGTTCTGGAAGGATCCCGAAGACTGATTTGAATTTTGTCGTCAAGTCTAGACGGACATACTTCTCAGCACGGTGCGAGGGCTACTGTTGTAGGGCGAGCAGGTAAGATATATGGGGAAAGGGGGGAGGGGGGAATTTAACGTATTCCGGTACACAACGATTAATCATTGTTAACGAAAAACGATCCGTTAGCCGGAGTTTGGTTACACGTGTGTTTATAAACGTTACGATACTTACGGGTTTTGTCAAAATTCGATACTGAAATTCTTATAAAAAAAAAAATATATATTTGTTTACGTGTATTATTTTTTAGAGCCACAAGTCTTCTGCCCCGGGGTCGACTCGAAGGCGGTGCACAACTTGCATTTGCGTTTTCAACCGGCCCCACTACGTTTAGTCATATGATTATTTAGGAAAATACTTGTTTTCAAATTAACGGTCCAAGAAGAATTGTATCGTAAAGATTCGCCCAAGGGCGATGAATAAGTAAAAACAAATTTTGAAAAAAAAAATCATATTGAAGCGCCGCAAACATAATAACTGTGCGACGCTTCGATATTGCCGGAACCCGCGTCCTGCTCTGCTCTACCGATAACCGAAAAGTAATACTAACGATTAGGGACCGGATTTAAAGGCCATCGGAAAATGCTCCGATAAAAAAAAAAAAAAAGAAAAAAAAACCTTTTAGCGAAATAATACCCAAAAGTGTCCCGCAATGCTAAAAACTGAAAACTAAAAATGGACAGAACGATAAATAAATGGTTTCGCTTTCGTCGTTATTTTGTTTACGCGTCGCGGCCGTTAATAAACATACGATAAAGACGTTATCGAAATCGTATAAATACAACGGTTGACAGTATGCGTATCGATGAAGAATACCTTAAAACCTATTGAAGCCAATAATTTCGCGAAACGTCTCGAAACGATATTCCGAATTGATCTAAACCTAAACGATTAATGTAAAAACATACGCGGTTAAATCAAACGAAATCGCTGAAAAACGTTAGAACAATACTCTGAAAAATGGAAAACCATGCGGGAAATTAATAACAAAAGTTTCACTTTGGAGTGCGTCTTCAATTACGCGAATCGGTTGTGCGCTCGCTCTTGAAAAGCGCACCCGTCCCACTCGACAAAAACTAAAAAAAAAAATAATAATAATTGTACACCTAACCCGGGATCCTGAAATAACGTAATCCGCGTAATTATCGCGAGAAGTTTCAATACGATAAATGTTGTTTACCCGGCGGGTAAATCTCGATCCGAATCCCTGACGTTTATTATAATTTCGTCTTGTGAACAATTTGTGTAAACTTTATGTCGTTTAATCGTTTGGAATTTTGACCGACGGTTAAAATTAATACCGGGGACCGAACGTCCTACTCTCGACACGACGGTCAGTGAGGGGGGAGTGTAGCGAAACGTCCGTTTATCATTGTATACCTATGTCTGTACGGAAAAAATATTATAAACCTGATTTCATTACGACACGATTTCGTGTTTTTACGGGTTTTTTTTTTTTGTAATCCGCGTTAGGCGTGTAACAAAATGATATTAAAAAAAAAAAAAAAACTCTCGCTAATGAAGGCGCATCAATAACCGTCCGTGCCTCTTTGACGAATAAACCGTCGTGGGAGGGACGTGGAGGGAGAGGGGAGGGGGCGGTGAGGAGAAAAAAAAACCGCGAGGTAGTACACTGACTGTGAGCATATTTTACGTTATTACCTGGTGGGGACGGCGGCCGAGTTTTTCAGACGGGAGTCTTGACGCACCGAAGAAAACTAAAAAAAAAAACCGTAAGTAATCCCGGGCCGCGGGCGCGGTACGACGACAATAACGAACCGGGCACGGTCGCGACGAGTTCGGATTTTTTTACGCGCGGCCACCACGAGTTTTAACGGCGAGTAAACAGCAATATTAATAGCCGACGAGTCACGTACCTGTCGTTCGCGGCGTCGAAACGAGAGGGAACGGCGACGAAAACCCTCCGGGGAAAAAAAAATTGAAACCGCACGCGAAAAACGAAAACGACACGCGACCGGACGGAGACGCGCGGACGGCTCGCGTCGGGCGAAAATCACACGGCGACGGCGACGACGGCGACGGCGACGGCGACGACCACCGGTGCCGCGGTAGGCGACCGAGAGAAAAGGCCTAAAAATAAACAAAACCGAAGGCGACACAAACAACGGCGCGACGACGCGACTCTATAACATAAACGAGCGCACGATTATAATATTATAATATTATTATTATTTATTTTTCTTTCCCCGGTGACGGTGCGCGCGTCGCGTCGCTGCTACAACACTACCACGGTCTACCGACGACACTATAAAACCGTATAAATAATAATAAACACGGACGTTCGGGCGGTAGAAAAAAAAAAAAAAAAAACCGAAAACGTAGGCAGGTAAGTATGAATGATCGTACGAGACGCAGAAAAAAAAAAAATGTAAAATTAATACCGTTTACGAAAAACGATAACGCAATAACAATAAAACACGATACAATAGCGATAATAATATTATTGTTGTTATTATTATTATTAGACGCGCGCGATCGAAAACGCGGACACGCGACAAACGGGCGACGACATGACGGTGGTGCGCGCGACGACCGGTCGAGGCGAACTGAAACTGAAACGCCGTCGACGTTGTTTTGTTGGAGGAGAACCTCCTTGCGCCGCGCGCTAGGTGTCCGGTTCGGCGGCGCGGCGTGCCGACAACGCGGCGATCTCTCCCCGCGTCCCCGCCGCCCGCCCCGGCGACGATGACGACCGCGGCGGCACACGCGGAGCCTCGCGTCCGCCGTGGCCGCCGCGGGGTTGTTCGGCCTCCGTCGTCGTCGCGCCGCAGTTTTGTTGTCGTAGGACCGCGGTCCGGCCGGCCATCCGCCGCGGTAAGAGTAAAACTCGTATCGCGCGGCCACGACACTGCGCGCGATGCCACCGCCGCCGCCGCCGCCGCGTTTTTATCGGTTCCGTCGTCGCCGCAACACGATCGTCGCGAGCATACCGCATACGCGGTTATTGCGCTGTTACGTATAATGGTCTCTACACACCGGGAACAATCGGTCGAATCGATTTCGTATACGAGTGGGTTATGTGGCGGTGGGAGGGGGGCGGCCTTTTTTTTCCACGATATTGAGCTATCGAACGTAATCTCGGTAAGTGTCTTTAAAACGGACGGTGCGCAGCGTTTAACCGCGATGTTAATTGGCGAATCGTGTGTGTAGGTAGCTGGTAGCCGATAATAAAGAACGGATAGGCCGTTCCTATGCGGTTTATAACGTAAGATGCCGCGTTCCTAATGTTCCTACAGAGCAGCTGATATGTCTCTGCGTCTCGCGAAACCGCCTTATACCACAACGGTTACTGCGGTTGATTGTTCGGTTAATAATTTTTATCGTCATCAATAATGTGCTGATATTACAATGATAATTATTATTTCGTTTAATTTGTTGTATTATTTATAAAAAAAAAAAAAAAACGTTTTAAATTACAACGGTTCATCGTTGTATTATTTGCGATTCAGTAATGGGCGACATGACTTTGTCAATTCATTTGTAACTTGTAAGTATCACGGAATAAACAAAAAAAAGGCATCTTTATCTGTGTTAAATTAACATGGCCTATCCATTCTTTACGATCGATCTAGGTGAATATAGTGGATACGGTTTAACGGTTGAGCGACAGTAATACTGTTATCATTTACCGTGTATCATGCATCGCTCAACCGTATGCCGCAACAATAACACCGCGAGAGTGTCAATGCGTTTACAAAAAAATATTTCGAAAGGGAGGGGCAAGGTTTAGCTTGTACACTTGCATATCTTGTGACAAAGAAATGTATTTAGGTACTTTCAATTTTAGGAATATTTATTTTACATTAAAAATGTCTATATTTTATAGCATTTATAGCCCTTTATAAGTACAGCTATTAATAAATTTTACATTTAATATTTTTTTTAGTAAATACAGACTAAATGATAACGTGATTCATATTATTGCAATGGTAATGTGGATTATGCAATATCGCCGTATCAATTATACATTTCTCAATGCAGAAAAACCGCAAAAAATGACAATAATATTATATACCTACTGTCTGGTAATATAATAAAAATAAATTTTATTTAACTTTCTCATTGACAGAAACCATTTTGGGACTCTATTAAAAATCTACTTTCATTATAATTTGCATGGAATTTCATGGGGAGCGGGTTACGCCTCCCCAATAATATGATATTATTGGATTTTTTTTTAAAACTTTAAAATATTTTATTCTTTATTTATATTGACCTTATACTGTAATAAACAAATATTTAGACAAATATTTGTTAAGAATATTGTTAATATTGCAAATGTTTTTAATTTGTTGTTAATTATTTTTTAAAAGTTACGCATTTCGGAACCGTTCAATTCTTCTATATTTAGTTACTATCTAAATTTTAATTTTTCGTCAAAAAGGAAATATTTCACAAAACTTTCATGAAATGTTTCAAAATTATACGATTTATAACTTCATTACGTGCAAGTTAAATTTTGAAAAAAGCTTAATAACATTCAATGGCATAATTGTGAAGTAACCAAATCGTTAAATGGCCTAAACTAAATATTAATCTAAATATTTTTAAGTCGTAGATTATTATGTTATGGTTCATACTTTTTTGTCAAACGTAAAGTAGTACTATTCTTTCTTGACTTCTAACATAAAACTATTTTAAGTATTCTAACATAGAATATATGTAATTCGATTTAGAATTATAGAATAATAAATAAAGAGGGAGAGAAACAGCGTTATTATGAAAAAAATAACTGCCAAAACTATACATAAGTCCTTCTGCCACGAGACCAAAGATTTATCAAAAAATATGGAACAAAAATGTTTGGCTTCTCTTTAAACCGGGGAAATCGGTATAACCATTAAATAAAATTTATTAAAGAAAACATACAAAGCTTATTTAATTATTTCACTACAAAATGACATATATGGTATATTGTTGACAAAATATCACTATCAACTGAACTCTGATCAGAATCGTTTTTTTCGTAAGCAATGGTTTATCGTTGTTTACAGATGTACACTAAATTCTCATCTATATCCTACCTTCCCAACTTCTCACCTACACCAGTGGCTGCAACCGCCCCCATTATCTTACCTTTCTTTTTTTTATTTCACTCACTATGTTAGGGTATTTATAAAGTTCTTTGATTTCATCGGATTTTCAGATTCTCCTCTCTCTGGTGCTAGTGTCCAAATATGGGCTGAGAAATTTTCTTAAAACCATTTTTTCGAATACAAATTTATCTGAGTTTCGTGCATTGTCCAGGTTTCACTTCCAAACATTAATGTGGATCTTATTAGTGTATTTGGTAAATTTAAAGCTTTGGGCCTTTGGATAGCAATCTTGACTTGAGTACTTTGTTTAACTATAAAAGCATCCATTTCCCGCTTGTATTCTTGCTCTTATTTCCATTTGGATATCGTTCTTTTGTGTAATGCGTGACCCCAGGTGTACAAATTATTTTAATCTTTTGAATTCGTCCACTTCTAGATGGGAGTACGCGTTATCCGCTAGTCCTTTTCTTTGACTTATCATAATATACTCTGTTTTTTCCCTATTCTCTCCGCTGTCTCTGATAACTCTCTCGTTATTATTTTATTCCATTGAAATATTATCCACAAGACCTGACTTTTTAAACTCTAATACGTTATTATTAACGATGTTAGAGGTCGTATTTTAGCGATAATAATCAATGCCTGCACCCGGTGCCAGAAAAATGTATTTCACCGATGAGTAAAAAGAAAAAAAAATGCTCGACCTGTCCGTTGGGTGTAAAGATATTCAACTACAGAACTTTGAAAATTCTCAACGACGCCTCTGTACTCATATAGCGCCCGGTGTGTGGGTACCTATCGCACCCCCTCCCCAAGACACAGTCCTGATGATAATAATAATACTGTTGAAAGGGAAAAAAATAACATGAAATAACCTTAGATCATATACAATGGATAGAGCCACCAGCCTATAGATTACATATCATATCGATGATGTACACGTTAGCGGCGAGTCGCATATTTATCTCAAATTATCAAAGTGATAAATCGAATCGGCGCGCGTGTACGAACACATAACACGCCATGGAAGATACAGCACGTCGAATAATAATAACGTGCAGTCCGAACGATTTTTTTTCTCGGTCTTTCCCCCCTTCCCCCTCCTCCCCGGTTTTAAATAATAACACGGGCCGACGCGACCCGGGGAATTGCGCGCAACATCGGTTCGGTTCTCAGAAACGGCTGCGGTCGGATCCCGACACCGGGTAAACCCTCCCCGGGGTCAACGACCCGCGGCACTCCGGACTATTCCGGGAAGACTATTTGTGGACGACCAATCGGAAATTGGCGTTTTATACGAACAACTCACGAGTCACTCACGACCCAACGTCCGAATTCGAACGACATTACTGCGCGAAAACGCCCACCGTGTTTTTAAATGCGGTTACTAATATTATCTAATATTATATTATACATAGTTGACAAAGAGAGTTTTTTTTTTTTCTGCGGACAGCTTTTCTACCTGCAATTTCGGTCCGATTTGAAATGATAGCACTTATTCTAACTGGAGAAAATCTGACTGTGGTGGTCGTTTAGGGAGGTCATTTTTTTATTTTCCCAGCTGTTTTCACAATAAACGGCTCCGTCCATTGTGTATGGGCCTGAAGGAAATAACGTCGTCGTCATCACGGCGGTAATCAACGTGATAAATCGAATCGGCGCGAGTGTACGAACACATAACACGCCATGGAAGATACAGCACGTCGAATAATAATAACGTGCTGTCCGAACGGTTTTTTTTCTCGGTCCCTCCCGCCACTCCCCGGTTTCAAATAATACGGGCCGACGCGAGCCGGGGAATTACACGCAATGTCGGTTCGGTTCTCAGAAACGGCTGCGGTCGGATCCCGACACCGGGTAAACCCTCCCCGAGGTCGACGACCCGCGGGACTCCGGACTATTCCGGGAAGACTATTTTTAGACGACCAATCGGAAATTGGCGTTTTATACCAACAACTCACGAGTCACTCACGACCCAACGTCAGAATTCGAACGACATTACTGCGCTAAAACGCCCACCGTGTTCTAAAATGCGTTCAATAATATTATCTAATATTATATTATACATGGTTGACAAAGAGAGTGTTTTTATTTCTGCGGACAGCTTTTCTACCTGCAATTTCGGTCCGATTTGAAATGATAGCACTTATTCTAACTAGAGGAAATCTGACTGGGGTGGTCGTTTAGGGAGGTCAGTTTTTTATTTTCCCAGCTGTTTTCATAATAAATAGGAAACACCGGTAAAAAACGTAGGAAAATAGGTACAACACAAAACAAATATTATTAAAGAAAATGTACAATGCATAAGTAATTATTTTACAATCATATGACATTATGACATATATATTGTTGACAAAGCAACACAATTAACCGAATTCCGCTCAGAATTGTTTTTTCGTTAGCGTCGGTTAATCGTTGCGTACACATTAAATTTACCCCAACTTCTCACCTATTACAGTGGCTCACCCGCGTGCGAAGTGTGTCCGTCTCTTTTTCTGTG